GAGCAAATGTTTGTTGCTGGAGGGGAAGGAGAAGCTGGAGAGGGAAGAGAGCTGTGCAGGCCAAGTGTCAGTTCCTGTCTGGGGTGAGGAGAAGACCAAGAGGGATGAACTCCACACAGGATCCAGACCCTGGAGGCCTAGAAGGGACCTTGCTGGTTGGAGATAGCGGCTTCATCCAAGATCCTGGGGAGGGGAGAGGGGAGAATCAGCTGTCACAATGGAAACCCTGGTTTTGGGGGGAAGCTGGGCAGAAGGCCCTGAGAGAGGTTCTTCCCCCAGTGCAGAAATGGATGGTGTTTCAGTTGAGCTGAAAGAAAGCCAAGCAATGCTGAGCACCCTCCAGTAACCCCAGTCCTTTCCTTTCTTTTTTTCCCTCTCTCTTATCAGGCCTAAAAAGGGAGGAGGGAGACAGAGAGAAAAGGAGGAGGCAGCAGGAGAAGTAGAGAGGGAAAGTTGCAGGTAGGGAGATGTGGGAAGTAACCTGAGCCCACCACTGTGTTATTCACCCTGGTGTAAATATCTTCTGTAAATACATGCTGTACATAGTAAAAGAAATAACAAAATAAAAAATAAAAAAACCTCCACTGTGTCCATTGCTACCTTTGCTTTGCATTACACCTCCAGTCCAAAATGAACTCCATCACGCTGTGGCAGCCACCTGTGAAAACATCTTTCTAGGAATTCTTCCATCACCACAAGCCATTCCTGCCCCTGATGCTAGGCCATTCAGGTTTTTGGTTGAAAACTGAAACTGAAAAATGTAAAGATAATGATCAGTACTTCTTTCCAGGTTTGTAAGAAATTTCACTTTGTACTACATGAATGAACGGTGTAGCAGAGGAAGCATTTTAGAGCCTTGTGGAGGAGCTCACATTTCAGACCTGAGTTAGCTTATGCATAATTTTGTGAAAGCATATGGAGAAACAGAGGTTTTTGTCCCTCATAATCTTACAGGGATTATGCTCCAAGGATAAGGAGCATAAAGGCTACCCAAGTTGTGAGCCTTAGTCCTCACACGGTCCAAGGAAAACAACCTGATATCAGATCTGTCTGTTTCCAAAACAAGACAATGATGGAAACCAACTTCTGTTCAAAGAGGAGATTCTCCAGCCTGGTGCATAGTTTGGGTTGAAAAAGAGGGAAGGAAGGAAGGAAACCCAACCCAAAATCCAACCCATGCATAGACCTCACTAGAGTTAAGACTCACCTTTGATACATAGCAGTCAATGAAATTCTTTTGTAAGGGTTTCTTAGCTTTTCTATAATAAAACTACCTATTAGAAGTTCCTGGACTTTTGTGCTCCTCTTCAACTAGTCCAGCCTGCCAGAGGAGAACCCTGACTCAAACCATAAAGAGCTTTATCAGTAACAGCTAGCACCATGAACAGACATAAAAAAAAAAAAGCATAGAATTAGAGGTAAAATGTTTAACTAAGTATCACCTTGTGGGCAAAAACTACTCAAGCCTTGGTGCCAGGCGTAATTTATATACTGTATTTATATTCTGGTAGAAAATTCTACAGTATTTAGGATAATATTTTTTCCTGTCCCACAGAATCCAAATCTCCCTGTCTTAACCTAGAGGGGATGTAGCCTGCATTACTAGTTTATTTATTATTTAAATCAAATTTTATGGCCACCCATCTCACCAATGCAGTTTTGGGTGGCTAGCAAGGATTTAAAAACACCGTATAAATACAACACAAAAAATACATATCACAACCAACTAAAACACAGTCTCTGCTGAGGACACTATACACCAGTTGCATTTTTTGGGGGGAAAGCTTTAAAATCCCTGGCCTTTTCCTCCTTTTT